CAATTCTGAGTTGTAGTAGAAATCGTTACAAAGTATTCAGCACTATGTGCTGGTGTTAGAGACAGTTGAGTCCATGAAATGCTGGCAGTGGAGAAAGCAAGGTGGGAGAACAGAGAGGAGAAAACTATTTTGCGCATCCCAACTTGTAGTTCTAGATCAGCACTGAAAATGGCTTAAGTTATAATGCTTAGTCATATAGAACCTGCCTGCCTATGTGAAAATGTTTCCAAGTCCACAAACAGCCAATATTTAAATAAAATTATTTTAAAAATCTACTTATAAACTGAAGGGTTTTGTTGTTGCATTGCTTCTGTTTGCCAGTGCCTTGTACATGCCAGGCTAGGGCTCTACTGAGTGTATCCCGAAGATTTTAATGAAAATTAAGGAAGAGACCCTATAGGTTAGAGCTAGAGCTCAGTAGCACACACCTGAAATTTAAATCCCAGCTCACATATTCTAACTGAATATGAGAACCTGGGAAGTTGTTCAAGCTCAATAAATTTTATTTTTTGCATTCATAAAATGATGAGAATACAAGTACCAATTATTACTCATAGAATTGCTATGAGGATTTAATTATATAATGGATATAAGTGCAGATAGTGGAAACATTTAAGCAATAAATTTTAGCTATTCTAATCATATAGAAATATCTAATCACATAATCAGTGAAGCCTAGGCAGGTAGTATTCTAAACTTAAACTTCATTTCAGAGAACAATTTTTGATCCTGTGTTTTATGTCTTTTAAAATATGTTATAATTCAGTAAAGCTGTTTTCTGAAGGTGTTTTGTGAGCAATGGCAATCATTATGTGAGTCAGAGTTTTTCTTATGTTGCCTTCCTCTCCTCCCTGAAGAGATGGTAGTTCCCAGTTCTGATGTGAACATCACACACACTAACATCACTTCTGAAGCAATATCAGCCAAACAGATTATTTGCTTATCACTCTTTTTGGTTATTTATCCTAAAAATAAGAACATTGGTAAGCCACAAGTAGCCATTTTTTTAAAAACAACATAATTAGATTTGTAACCCTTAGTAAGGCAGTAATCCATCTGTTATGGAAACAGACCAATTTGAAAATTAAACTGATTAATCTAAAAGAAAAAAATCTTGAGTTTTCCCACAGTAAGTATTTCCTGAAATGAATTTTCCTAGAAGGATTTTAAAAGATATGAATATCTGTTCTTCCTTCCTTTGCTCAATCCAGAAACAAGGCCAAATATCTATTAAAGAGAAAAATAGGATGCAGTTTATGTTTTGGGATTCTGTAGGGTTTCACTGACCCTGCAAGTTTCATGTATTTGAACAGGTTTTCTGTCAGAGCTTTTTGATGACTAACAGAATGTTTCTGATACTGGTAAATGTGTGACTATGTTTGAATTATCTTTTGTACTTAGTTTGCTTTACTATTATTTTCATGTTGTCTGATCACATACACAAAAATCTCCTGATGATTCTTCTAACAGTGTGTGATTGGACTAATAACTTCACATGTTGAAGAGTTTTGTGCTGCAGCTGAGAAGCATGTAAATACAAGCTGCTTATTTGCAAGAAGCTTCCAGATTTGCAATATGATTGCTATGGAAACCACATAATGAAAACCTTATAACCATCTGTGTGGTTTGATGGATTTTACTGCATAGCTGAGCTGTTTTTGTTTACTGTTATTAAAATGTTGAATGGAATATATTAACCCACAAACATTGACTATTTGAGGTATTAATTAGTGTTATATAATGACATCATGCCTCAATACCAAAATAATATGTTTAATAATAAACATAAATAAGACAATGTGCAAGTGTATATTATTGTGAAGGTAATTATTGCCTAGAATTTTGGTCACCTGTTCTTACATTTTTTTTTTTCGTGGTCTGAAGAGGTTTGTTCTGTTAAATGAGTATGTTAGGATTTATTTTTATGGTTTTTTAATCCTTTTGTTTATTCAGTATTTATTGCACATCTCCTTTATACCAGGTTCTAGTCAAGGTTTACTCTTGAGTATTTTTTCCCCTACAGTTTAAAAAGCAGACAAATTTGATACTATCTTACATGCATAAGCTGTTTGTATTAGTACCCCAAGATAAAATGGGTGGTTTGAATATTATTAAGAGAAAATGATATATAAAATGTATGTCTTTTTCCTAAAAATATAAGTGCTAGTTTTTAAATGGAAAAGAAGTGTTTTAAATATGCATTTCCTGCTCTAAAATACTGCTTATTAAATAGCAACTCATGTGAACTTCAATTTGGATATATCACAGTAAATATTGATAGGTAAATAAATATTTTTAATGTCATTATTCTGATAATTTAAGAAGATATTTCTGTCACACCACTGCAATACCTACCATGCATTATAGGTACTTAAAGTTTACTAAATAAAAATACATTTGTAGGAATAAATTCTTCTGAATTGTTTGTTAAAGTTTTTCCGTTTAATTATTATAATTAATTTTCATGTTATTTAGTGCTGATGCTAAATGCTAGTCTCTTCAAAAACAGTGTTTAATCTATTGAAGTGGTTACATCATTTGACTGAGGTCACATGCCCTTAAGTTTTTTTTTTTTATTTTAATTTACTCTTTAGGACTTGATTTGTGACCAGATTGTGAAAGGCAGTAGGTGTTAGGGAAAGAGAGGATGTGAAAAGTAAGGAAAGCTTTTTCTTTCACCTTTTCAAAAATTAATTATCTGTAAAATGAGTGATTTGGCCTAACTATAATATCCTCCTATTTTAAAAGCTTATATAAAAAGACCCTATAAAGAATCCATTTATGGTAGCTAGTCCTTGAGGTTTGGCATAAGTGAGATAACTGTTATTAAAGAAAAAAAATCCATATTAAATTGCCAAAAGTAGGTTCGACAGTATGTATAAGGCCCCAGATATTTCCAGCTGTTCCTTATATTGGAGCTTTTATTCTTTTGTTTGAAATGAATTACAAAAACTCAAAACAGCTATATTTGTTATGTAGTACAGTAACTCTCAAGGTTGATTTAAATGATGATTTTGATTAATCACCATTTAGAATTTCCAAGAAACTCTGAAATCTCTATCTACAGTACATACTTCTCTACCGTACTTTACAGTTGCCCTTGGTCATTTCCTCTGGGGGGCCAACCAGCACACTAAATCTATCCTATGGAAAACACAACTCCTTGTGGTTCTGCCACCACTGCTCACGCAGTGGAGATTATCTTTGTTATCATTTTACAACTTTTTTTTAGCAACAATACACCCATTTTTCAGTTCACTAAACTTAAGCCTCTGATTGCTCTCTTTTCCCCCTCCTCCGTGTCTATTCAGGCAGACAGGCACAAAGCTTATCAATCCTTGTAGTTCTTTCACCTCCACAGCCATCTCCTTCCCGTTTCCTCTGCCCCTTCAGTCCAGGACTTCCTTCCCCTTCATCTAGACTTTCCTGCCCCTCCTCCAGACTGCCTGAGACAATGGGATCAAGTGATTATTCCTGGACCAGAGTTTCAGTCCTGCCCATCCTCTGCTCCAAGGCCTCGCAGGGCTCCTGACTGCCAGCAGATCAACCTGGAGTCCTTCACAGGGCATTCATGGAGCCTTAACAACCGGCCCAAACCACTCTCATCCTCTCCCATCCTGCTCTTCCCTTGTAATTTACTCACAACAGATGAGCCTTGCATTTTAAGTTCATGGCTTTCCCTCTTTCTAGAAATAACCTTCTTCCCGTCTCTGCTTGTTTAAATTCTCTCCACCCACAGGCCTTCTTGGCGTCCCTAGTCAGGAGGTTGCCCCCTGCACGCCTTCAGTGCTTTGTGCCCCACTGCCAGGCTAGGCCCCATTAGCCCATTTTCTTTCATCTTGTCCTTTGTCTCCTCCAGCTGTCAGCTTCCTGAGGGCAGAAGCTCCCTGTTGCCTTTGCCTCCTCTGCAGATCTCTCCTGCAGGCAGTCAACACTCAGTGAAAATCAGCTGATTGGTAGAAGAGTTAAGTGACTACATTTGTATTCTCTTGCATGTTTTCCTTTGAATTTTTTGATTTTTCTTGAAATTATGATTCTTTTTGAACTTAGTTTTTCTTTGGCATGCCATTTATTCACATGTACAACATCTCTAAGTTACATATCAATCCTTAGGTAAGAAAGTTAATAAATACAATCTTTAATTGAAACAAGTTTTTGTGGTACTGGGATTAATAGAAAAGAAAAATAGTTTGATTCTATTTTAAACCCTTCTTATTTAATTTTATCATACTTTTTCATGCTAACCTGGGGAGGGAATGTGATGGGAGAGTGAAAAGATACAGGCAAAGCACTGACCGTGGTTAGGATCAAGGACAGGAACCTTATAATCATAAGCTTCAGTTTGAATAACATACGTTGGAAGTTACTTCACCTTTTGAGTTCCATGTATTTGTCCAAAGAATGAGGATTTTAAAATTATCTGCAAAGTCTTTTCTCCCACAGTATGTAATACTTGGTAGGTCCTTAATATAATGTGGGAAGGAATTAGCTTAGGGGTGAGGATCCTTCTAGTATCCTGTGAAAATTGAGAAAAGACATGAAGTAATACTCAATGGATGACTTACAGTTAACTGTATTTTATGTGCTTATTTTCTCCTTGCTATGTCAGTGTTTTAGGAAGCATGATTTTATCTGTAATATTCCTGCCACACAATATAATGCAGTGTTAGGTGTTATTTTACAGGGATCTACTGGATTTAATATTGTTCCAGATGAGTTTCTGTAAGTATTTAAAACAAATGTGTAATGCATTAGCACATATCTTACACTTTATCTACCGACTAGATAAACCTTGGTAAGATTGTTATTTGGAAATTGCTAGTGGTTTATTTGTTCAGTGTTAGATTATTGACAAAGGAATATGAATCTTGCATAGCTTCATTCATTTAAAAGTAATATTTATGTGTTATAAGCTTACAGTTGTGTTCTTAAGATAGGATGATTACTGGGTTTTATTCCTGAGGAACCTCTTTAATGTGCCACTGACTGTTTGTTTACAGAAGAAGAAGAGGGCAATGTTTCCGTGAAAATGGAAGAACAAAGGAAATTGAGTCCAGACAGTGTGCACCACCCCTCAGGTAATGATATGTAGCTTCCTGGCAAAGCTTGTTTTGGTTCTGTTTTAGAAACATTCTTGCTGTTCTAAAGATGTTTGCACAGCTCCCAGAAGTTGGCTTGTTTGGTCTCGATGTGTTATGGCTGATAAGCTGCTTAGTCCCATTTAGGATGCATGAAAACCACTTGAGAAGGATTTATAAAGTAAGCCAATTTATACAAGGTATTCCTTCCTGAATTACTTTGTAATGACTCAATTAGCTTTCATTTCTGCACAAAGGAGATTTAGTTGCATAAATTAGCTTATCATCATTGAGGAAGTGTCACTGCTAAAGGACAGTTTATAGATACAACATGCAGTTGCTGTCAAACCTATAAGAATGTAATATAGACATCTGTGTATACTTTGTGCTTGAGCAGAACAGACTTCTGCCATTCAGAGACTAACAGGGGACAACAAGTTGCCCAGGGGACAGGCAATGTAGACATCTCTGAAAAGGTCAACTTGACACAGGCTCTGACAATCGACCCACAGCTCTGTCTTCTTTGATAAAAATCAGATAAACTTAAGACCGCTAATTGATCTGCAGCCTGTTTAAATGTTGGCCATGCATATCTTCATTGCATATGATTAACACAGAAAGCAAATGAATTGGGTAGGAAATGCCAGAGTCCAGTGACAGCAGCTTAAAAACTGGAAAAGGACACTGGTGGCCTAAAAGACTAGGAAGGATGCTCTTCCCTTTTCTCCATTTCCACTTGGCACATGGCCCCAAGTACTAATTGTGACTGAGACTGGAAAAATAACTGCACGCGCTATGTACAAAATCACATGCTACAGACAACTTCTCTTGTTTGTTGTTATTTCCAAATAGCAAGAGATAACCATATCTGTAGTGTGAGCATGAGGTTAGTTTTGATAAACCAGCAATTATTTTACACCGAAAGAAGAGAAGGACTACCTTCTTATCAGGATTTTACACCTCTTCGTAGCCACATGTCAGCTGGGGCAAGGTCTGCCCTATCATCCCTGGGTCCTGCAGAGAGCTGGAGCTGGGGTCACCTTCCCCTCTCTGATATGTCCATACATCACTCTTTCAAGCTGTCAGAGGCAGGGTGGACAAGAAGTGTGTGTTCAGGAAGTAGCGTTCCAGAGGCTTTCCTACAGCGACAGTGGAAAGGAAACAGAGGCCTGATTCAGGGCCTGGACAGGAAGGCAGGAGCAGGTTGCTGTGAAAGGTTTCGGTTTTGCTGTTTTCAGAGAGGAAGCGAGGACTAAGTCATTAGATGTCAGCACCCCTGTCCTGTAAAACACAGAGCTTAGTGAAACCTTGAAGACTGTGTTCAGTAGTAACTTAGGTATACATTCTATGTTTTGGGTTGTGTCATGAACCTGCTGCTCAAAACATTTTTCTTTTTAAAAAATTTTTTGTGCAGGTAGAAGAGGTAGACATACAGATAGATATCCTTTCCACAGATACAAGTATTTTGTCTTAAAGCAGTTGTGTTTTTCAAAAGTACATTTTTTTTTTGTAAAAAAAGAAACAAAAAAAACTTTAAAAGCAACTATCTCCCAAATTTTTGCCTTTGAGGGTAGAAAAAAATGAGTTTTCTTCAAAGGAATGCAATAAGTAGATCTAGCTTTTCATGCCGTTGCTATAAAGCACTGCAATAATTCTTACCTTTAGTGACATGAAATCTTTTCAAGCAACAGTTTTAATGCTTTTGCACAGCAGTGACCTTTGCTCGTCCCTAGGCTGTCAAAGGCTAGAAGCTTGTTTGCTGTGCAGGGCAGTGAGTTGACAGCCGTATTACTGTCTTGCTGAGCATCACATGACATGAACTTCTAACCTTACTCAAGAATGTTATATATTTTTCACATTGACTGATTTTACTAAAAAAATCATAGACTGTTCTAATGTCAAATACGTAAGCCAAAACAAAATCTGTCTGGTGTTTTTTACAAGTTACTGCATGTTCAAGCTTATATATCTAGAGCATACATGTGGACATACATGTGCCTGCACACTCGTACACACATGATCTCATTTGATTCTTTGCTTCAGTTTTCTTCATTATTTTTTATTTGATTTTTTTTAACACTGTAAGATATGCTTACCTTTCTGAAAATAGTTTTCAAACCTACAACATCCAGGGAGAGATTCTCCATTTATTATCATGTTTCATTGTCATTTTAAAAATATCTTGCCTGTTCTGTAAAAGTATTTCCCATGTTTACGTGTTCAGTTTCTACTTTTGTAATAATTTTGTTTTATTTGCCCAGTTATCTGTTTTTGTATGGGTTTAAAAGCAGGAGCAAGTATATTTTTTAAATCCCTCATAAGCTGGCTAATTTATTGTTTCTTTTGTACTTTCTTGTTTTAATCATTCATGCCTCTCAGGACAAGAAACATAATAAAGTGATTTTCTTTTGGTAAATTTGAAAATACAGATCACAGTGTAGATCAAATAGAAAAATTAATCCATGTAGTTCAGACAACTAAACAGAATTAACTTTTACTTCAAAATATATCTCTATCACATTATGTTCCATCCTGTAACAAATACATATCTCACATGGATTATTTTTCAGTCATAGGCGAACAATGTTAACCTTTGTGAACCTATGCTTTTGAGGCTATATCTATGCCTATTTAATTCTTTCGTGTGTACAGTTAAACACACGTAAAGTTTTAAAGGAGTACCCTAGAGGAACTTAATGCCTCCTATGAACAAGATCATTCCTATGTCCACATTTCATATCAAAAATTTAAACATTACTTTCCTGAGGAGACCAAGACTAATAAGCACACAGTACCAGGTTTTTGCCCTAGCTGTGATATTTCTAGTTCATAAGTAGTATCACACTCTGGAAAAGATAGAATAGCAAATTGTATGTACATATAGCTGTGTGACATAAACAAATTACTCTTTAACAGAGCTCACATATGGGATACAGAAATGAGGTTGGTCTTTGGGTAACATCATCATCAAGATTATAGAAAGCACCGTTGAAAATGCATCTTTTTCCCAGGATTGCCAAAGTGCTGGCTCTGTTGCCTCTTTACAGCAGTGAGGTTTAATGAAATGCTCATGATGCACATCTAGGGAGAGATGCATCTTGTACGCGGTGGGGGTCTCTCTTCCCCTCGCCTGCTCCTGTAACTTCCATTAGTGTTAATGGGTGTTTCACCAAGTGCATCGAGGGGAAGAGAGACCCCAAAGAGATAAGGATGATGTGTTAGAAATCACCATATACTTTTCTTTTTCTTTTTCTTTCATCCCTGCCCCCTCTTGAAAATCTTTTAAATGAAAAACGATCATGAGAGAATCTGAAACAGGGAGAGCAACCTGGACAGCTGGGAAGCCCATTGGGACACCACTACCAAGCCAAAACGCTCTGCTCTCGCTTTTTAGCCCAGGTTTTGTTTCTTCCATCTGTTGGGGACAAGCCTAAGGCTGAGAAGTATGGGGAACAGACAGAAGCCTTGACTGGGGAAACCAGCTATTTAGATCCTTTTACCTCCTGACTGGTTAGTGTGGGGGAGGGCCTTGCATGTGAATGACGTCATCCTCTCTTTGCTCTAATTCCTTGACTTTTAAACTGACACTGACGGACTGCGTGGGGCGCAACATTTGACCCATTTAGCAGTTGATTTAATCTGACTAGAATGTTTCAGCTTCCAAATCTTTATTTGTTTAAATAAGTGGTTTTTAAAAGAAATCAGTCACTTTATTATAAAGTGATTTTTTTTTCCCTAAAAAAAAACAACACACAACCCTTGCAGGATCTGACCAACCAGAGTGCCCTCTAGTGTCCATTAATAGAATTTATTTAATTTATGCTTTAGGGGGGAAAATGTAAGGAGGGGTGGCCACAAGCTTTGTTAGTCCTTGGTTGGGTTCCCAGGCTTGTATCGCTCCCCGCTAGCGCTCGCGTGCTAGTGCAGAGACGTCAGTAAGGCGTCTGTCTCAGTCTCCCTCCCTCCTCCTCTCCTCTTCCCACTGTCCCCTCTCTGAATTCTTAGAAAGCGAGAAAAAAAATTAATAGGGGGATTTTGTTAGGTTATGTAAGTCAGAAGCTGTAATAAGACGAGCACCCTACTGGTACTAATGTGATCAGTTGTGTTGGAATTGCCAAGAAGCTTGCTGTTTGAAAGCTATACAACAAAATGAAGATGACAGCCCTGATCCAGCAAGTGTTTCCACCATCATCCCTTCAGAATTCAAAGATGACATTCCAGTGATGGGAAGTTGTCAGCGCTTATGTGTTCTGCCTGGCCAGTGAATACACGGACATCTTATTGATATTACTTGCATTCTTTTTGCGTTAACTCATCAAAACTCAATTATCGTGAAATTAAAAACAGGAAATAGTTCTCGGTAACAAAAGCATCCAGTGTATTTAACTCTGTGCTGCATTTCAGGAGACCCACATTGTATAAGTGACAAAGCATTTATTACCCAGTTTATTGTGGTATTACAGAGTGGAGAGCACTAAATAATCAATCAGTTAATGGTCTGTATGGCAGTTTGAGCACATCGCATCCATTGTGCTTATGTTAGTAGAAGGATGAGCTGATAATTCCAGTGCATGTTGCATGTTTATTCAGAGCCTAATGTCCTAAACTATAGCTGACAAAAATCTGGTGAAAAATGCAGCTTCAGCATTGGCAATTTTAAAGGTGCTACAATGTGTTAGAGGCTTTGGATATAAATCCTGCCCCCCTGAAAGAGCTGCAGCTAACTTTTGTATTACTTTCACTTTATGTTCTTTACCCAGTTTGGGGTTTTAGGATTAAAACATTGGTTTCTTAGTTTGGGATTTATATTTCTGGATTAGCTCCTTTATGACTGTTATTTTTTTGAAGTGTCTCAAATTCTTCAAGGTGATTAGTTCACAATTTGTTTGTCCCATTCCATGGCCATTGGTCATTGTGCAGTATGAGTGGCAGACTTCTCTTCAAAACACGCTGTGAATGGCGAGGTTTTTATAGAAAATAGCGGGGAGCAACATGTAGGTGCTGTTTTGATGAGAACGTGCTGCAACTAGAGGCTGTAGGTGAAAGGCAGAAAAGGAAAAAAGACAATAAAATTAGGTCTTTTTGAAAATTATCTTAATTAAAAGGCAGAACTAGGATTCTCATCTGGATATAATAAAATATTCATTAACTCAAGCTAGGTTATTTTGGTGGTCTGGAGTGGTCCTTTAATTTATATGGTTCAAGCTCTAAGTCATACTTTCCATTTCTTTTTTCTAGGAGATAAGAGCACAGACTATGCCAATTTTTACCAAGGTTTGTGGGACTGTACAGGAGCTCTTTCTGATGAGTTGTCATTTAAGCGTGGTGATGTGATTTACATTCTCAGCAAGGTAAGAGAGTAGAAATGACAGCGGTAGAAGGGAAGCACACAGTTTGATTTTTATGCATTTGGATTTATAACAGTAGGGAAAAATGCCAGTTAGAATTCTTCTAGGTCCTTGTTAACAATTGGGAGTTCACAATAATTAATTATTTTGTCAAGTGAAATATAATCAAAATTTAAACAATCAGATAACAGGATTCAACTTAACAGTGTGTTTACCTCTTGCTTCAGCCTTGGCTCACATCCCCCACTGCTTCTCCAGAAACAATATACTTAGGCGAAAGTTAACATTGTAAGGTATTAGGTTATTTATTATGTTTTTCTTTCCTCTTCCTTTTTATTCTTCTCTGTGCTTATTCTAAGTTTGTATGCCATTCACTACTGGAAACACTGTTTATAGAACAAGGTTTTCATCTTTATGTAAATATATTGAGTGTTCCGACAATTTAAGAGCAGTGCTTTTCTATTCAGACAGGTTTAAGTAAGTTTAACACACTATATTTGTAAACAGAATGGCACAGTATGTTGTTTTAAACTCATCTTTATGTATTTAAAAATCTCTGTCCTTTTTAAGCTACTGGATTGTTCAGAATGCACAAGTCTAAAAATCAGATTATATTTCTGATAATATTTGCACATACTCTTAATTTTCATCCTTTTTCTCCTACTGTTATATGGGAATTAAAAATCATACTTTGTCTACTTTGTGAGGCTATTTTAGAAACAAATGATACATGGAAACAATTTAAATATAAGTAAAAAATGTTGAATAAATTATAAGTCTAAGAGTTTAGTGTGCCTTCTTGGTTAGAGAAATATTTTGGATATTTCAGAGAGCTAATGTTATTTGTCTATGAAAGGAATTTGGAAATAAAGTCGTATTGAATTTTAATACTAGAATGGCTAGTGTATAAAATCATAAAAGATGATTATAGAACATTTGAGTTACAATCATCTCTTCTTGGTTTTAGCAACAATCATCTCTTCTTGGTTTTACACATAAGGGAACGTAGCTCAAAAGAGAGCCAGAGCCCATACTTGGTGTAGATATCTTGACTCCCAAGTCTAGTGCTTTTTTCTCTGGTTTTTTTTTGCCTTCTTCTTTTCCCCTGCCATTCTTTCCTTCCTTTCTTCCTCCCTTCTTCCCTCCCTGCCTCCTTCCTTCCTTCCTTCCTTCCTTCCTTCCTTCCTTCTTTCCTCCTTCTGTTTAATTTGAAGTGAACGTAAAACACCTACAATATGCTGGGACCCATTTTAAGGCACCAGAAATCCAAAAGGAATGCAGTGTAAGCACCTAAAGATTGCTGGAGAAAGAAATACTTAATAATGAGTAAGTAAAGACAGCTATGGTAATTAGTGCTTAAGATGCCCAAAGCTAAGCCTTATCATTTAATTCTTTCAGTCTTCTGCTTGTTAGCAGAGTGTTTTTGGTTGTTATTCCCAGAAAGATGTGTTCAGTCCTTGGGAGCTGTAGATAGCCAGATCCACATTAAAACTCTTAATTAAGCCTGTTATTGAGCATTTAATTGTCCTGAGTTAAGACAACAGCTTTCTGAGTTAATTACTGAATATAGAAATCAAACTGATGAGTTTCAGTTCTTATCAAGTAACTTTTTTGGAATCACTACTAAGTTTACTTGGCTAAAGTTTCTTTAACCAACTTGGCTGCGAGTATATATAAACTTAAAAGATTGATGATTTTCTGCTTGAAATTTCAGGTGGTAGGGGTGATTGCTGTACACTTATCCCACTGCTTTTGCAAATATGAAGCTTGTAAAGCCCTGGTAAACTAGAACGTTCTTTATGAATCAGATAATCTTTGTCACTGAAAGCCTGGGTAGAGCACCTTCCCCAGAATAAGCAAGCACAGTTCCCAGAGCTTATCTTCCACTTTTGCTTCAGCACATCATTTTCTGTCCACGTGAAACTGAAAGTATAATCACAGGTATGTATTATAGTTTTAGGGTCCTAGGGATGGAAGCTCATGTTCTTCCAAACCTGTTTGGTGGAGACTGTACTTGTATGTGTGAAGCCTGATCGTAGAACTGAAGCTGGGGTGGTCCAGCTCATAGGAAACATTTACTGCCACCCAAAATCTTTTAAAGCTATTTGGGAGAACAAAAATACGGTATTTCTACTATCAGTCATTTTGCCACCACCATTATTTCATTAGAGGTGGGTATTTTAACATGGGTTTTTTAAAATTTAGCCAAGAAAGAAACAAAAATTAAGACCTTACGAGCCAGCACACATCACCACTGGCTGTATGATTGAATGCACAGTAGCCCGGGTGTGGACATGGCAGCATCAACTTGGTGAGGGTTGCTGAAGGTGAAAAGAAGGGCACTAAGCTGTGTCTGGTGGTATGTGAACCTCTGAGCCGTGTATGGGTGTGTTGGCTTTGCTAGTCTAGTTGCTTTGGAGTTGAGTATATGTTTGTGAAGATCCTTATTTCTCCATCTTGCTTTGGGCAAATTCAGATAGAAATCTCTGGAAGATCCCGAATAAGCTTATATTGGTACGTCTTTCTAGTTTTATCAAAACTTTGGCAAACACAGTCCAGAAGTTGATGCGATAAATTCACTTAGTACATGAATAACTGATTTTGAATGCCTAGTATTATAACATAAGAATTTGCTGGGAGTGGTGGCACATACCTGTAATCCCAGCACTCAGGAGGCCGAGGCAGGAGGATCACCAGGAGTTTGAGTCTAGCCTGAACTACATAGTAAATTCAAGGATAGCCTGAATGACACAGAGAGGCCTTGTCACAAAAAACACAACACAACACAACAAAACAAAACAAAAAAGAATGCAAGGCCTCTAGTAAAAGAGAACAAAAAATTGTTTTCAATGGGCTTGTTTTTAGATGAAGATAGAGTCAATGTTACGTACTGGTAGTTTTTTTTTTTTTTTTTTAAGTACAATTAACTAGAAATTGGTAGCATTGTTATATGCCCAAGAATTTGTTTAATCTTTCTTGGAGTTATATTTGGATTTTGTGGTGATGGGATGAAATTTTACCATTTTAATTTATTTTTTTACACCATCTAGTGGCTCAGAATGAGTGGTGCAAGTAATTGCAGCTAATGTACACAATCAAAATGGTGTCATTAATTCGACTTTAAATCTAGCTATAGGTTATTACTTTTCTATCTCATGTCAATAAAGTATTAGCATTAATCATGAAAAATTTTGTTCAGCATTTTGAGTTAAATGTAGAAATTATATGCATAAGGAAGAATACATTTTAAGAAACCTAACATATTTGTGAAGACATAGAAAACGTGTACTTAGCCAAGAAATCAATGCTATGACTTTTCTATTAAATGAAATCATTGAAAAGATTTTAAGGAAATGTAACTTGCTCTTAGTGATGAACTGATTTATAGGTTGAAATACTAAACTATCACTGATTTGATCTACAAGTTTGTAATTCTGAAAATATCCTTTTCCAAAAAAGCAATGCAAAATAGTTTAATAAAAGGTGCATTCTTTCAATATAAATAAACATTTAGCAAAGTCAAGAATTACAAATTATAATGAAAAGTGTTTTAATTTTGTAATGTAATGGCAGGAAAAAAACCATTTAAGTAGTTTGGGGACTAGGCTGTCTTCATTTAAAAAATCACTAAGGAATTACAGTTTTATTTTAAAATTCCATCCTCTGTTTTACAAGGAATGCTTGATGGAGTGGCAAGATAGGCGTCTTTTGAGAGTTACACAAATCTGAGGATTTATTTTATTCTATTTTATTTGTTTTTCCTATCTCATGTCTCCTATCTCATTCAGTGCAAATCAAGTATTATAATAAAGAACAGGCAGACGCTGCCCTTCCCCCTTCCTTTTTAATATTTTTCACTTAGCTGTCATGTGACCTCTGGCTGAGCTAGCCCCTCCTTCAAAGTGTCCAGGCATTTTCTTAGCTATCACCTTTGAACCTCACTAATAATAAATCTAAATACTGCTTGCCTAAAAGGAGATCCAGTAACTTTTTGTTCTATGGTTATTTTCGTATAGAGTTGCCACTGGCTTTTTTATGTATTAATATAAGTGCTTCAGTAGTTCATGGACATTTAGAAATTTTTTTTTCTCCTAATAAACAAAAAAGCACATTTTCAGGGGCAGATGAAGGTAAAATTTGTGATTCTAACAACAACTATGTTGTTAGTGAACTAACCCTGAAATACAGGCACGGTTTCAGATTCATTTGATGGGGGAAAGTTATATTGGAGGTATAAAATCTCCAGTAGGGGCTGGGGATTTAGCTCAGCGGCAAAAGTGCCTGCCTGGCAAACGCAAGGTCATGAGTTCGGTTCCCGGTACCGGAGAAAAACCAAAATAAAATAAAATAAAATAAAATCTCCAGTAATTTTTTAAACATCCAATTAAGTGTTTAAAACTTTTTTTTTAAGAAACAGGTTATTTAGAATCATGCCAAAATATTTTATCAGTTTGTGTCTCACTTTTATTTCCCCCAAACCATGGGCATAATATTGCAGTTACTGGTATTTTCCTAGAACCATGTTTATGAAAATTTTGTAATTTCAGTAGCAGGATCCAGATCACAGAGTAGTAGGCCTCCTCCATATCCCTGCATTCCTCTTTGTTTAAATATCCTGCCTTGCTGTTACGGATTTACATCCTCTGGTAGTTTATCTTTCAATCTGTATTCAGGGTAAACTGTTAACCACATTCTTATCCTTATTTTTAAAGCAGAAAATTATTTTTAGAGACTTAATAACAGATGAGCTATACTTTGGCAGGAAAAAGGCAAGCAACTCTATTTGATTCTAAAAGAAAAATAAGAACATTAAGGATTCTATAATATTTAGTCGAGGGCATGTATGACTTTAGCTTTGTAGCCTTTTTAAGAAATATTGTCAAAAACAGGAAATGTAGGTTAAATAGTAAAATAGTCATCACTAATACACAATAAAAGGCACTTTGTTAGAGTTTATTGGTTTGAGTTCGAAGCAGTACTTCCTTTTATATCTTATCTGCTTG